TAATTTTTTTGTGTAACGAAATCTATAACACTTGTCAATCATATTGCATGCTGTGTCTAAAAATAACATGTGAGCGTCCCACGGTCTAGACAGGTTTTGTGTCAGGCCCTATTTAAAATTAGGGCCTGAACTTCAGGTTAAGTTAGCATGTTCTCATAGGTTGATATATAATTAACTAAGATTTCCGAATTATACGCCACGCCTCCAAAAAACTTCTTATGCTAGGAGCGGTCATCTCATTGGACGATTCTAAATGTAATTGACGTTTGAGCAAGAATACTGGCAAAGGATTGGATAACTTTGATCTCTGACGTCACTTTCCTGTGATAATTGCTCGAAACCAAATACAGTACCGTTTCGTTCCTGCGGGGAACGAAACAAAAATGGCGGGGTGTAAATTCAGTGCTTCCACTTCCACTTTCAAAAAAATAATTTCCTTCCCAACTGTTCAAAATTTCCTTATTTTTGACAAAAATTTACAATAATTTATCCTGAATGACGGTGTATTTCTCGGGTGAGAAACACCATGAACCTTGCAATTATAAATTATAAATTAATTATAAAAAACTGCAACAGGAGGCTTGAGGTCATGTCTCAGAAATTTTTCAGATTTTCCATCCCCAGGAGTAGGATTTGGATTTTTGACATTTCCTGACGCGAATTTGCTTGGGAATTGCTATGATCTTAGGATTTATTAAAAATAACAAAATATCCTTATTTCCTTGCTGAAAACAAAATTCCTTGCCGTTTCCTAGTAAATTTTATTTCTTTTTGCAAAGAAATGTCCTTGCAAGTGGAAGCACTGCATGGGATGACCAGTGTAGGCAACAGTTGAAGCCTCCCCCTTTTCTCACCCTCCGCCCCTCACCCCCCTATAAAATACGGTTCTATTTTATTTCATTTTGCTAAGTAGGAAAATTCAGAATGTTTTAATTTAAATAGACTAGCTATTTTATACATATCTGCAAATTGTAATCCTGAATCCCGGTAAATGTAAAATAGGATTAAAATAGTGTATTTTATTATATTTTGCAAATTAGGGAAAGTAAATAGGTTTAAAATAGTATATTTTATCCCTATTTGAAAAATGTGGCAGTTTTAAAAATGTGCAATAGGTTTAAAACAGTCTATTTTATTCTGTTTTGCGTATTCTGAAAAATAAATAGCTTTAAAATACTATATTTTATATCTATTTTAATTTATGTAATATTCTGCACGTGCAAAATATGTTTAAAATAGTCTATTTTATTGTTATTTTGCTAACTATGAAAGAAAGATAGGATTAAAATAGTATATTTTATTCCTGTTTGAAATTTGTGCATTTAACTTCCAATGTAAAATAGGATTTAAAGTGTTAAACAGCCTATTTTATTTTATGAGTTTAAAAATAGTATATTTTACATCTATTTTAATTTCTAACTGCTTTCTGGTGAAGTAAAATAGAATTTAAATAGGCTATTTTAAACCTATTTTTTCCCTGAGGCTCTGGAAAATAGTATTAAAATATGCGATTTTATTTCTATTATCTATAAAAATAGGAATAAAATAAAATAAAACATTAATAAAATATGGCTCTTTCTTTTAGTGAAATATTATGATAGAATTAAAATAGGGTTGCCTCTGAATAAAATAGCATAAAAATAGGGATGATAGTAATAAAATAGCAATATAATATAGTTATTTTCGCAATATTCATAATAAAAATAGCTCATATATCATTTTAGCAATACAAAAAGGTTATTTTACAATGAATTTCAGCGAGGTGGTTAGTCAGCTCAGTTTGGCTGATAAAAATTTCTTTACAACATTTAAAGTGTTTTTTTCCAGACCAGTTTTAACTCTCCTCAACCTTCAGGGGTTAGATGGTAGAGCTGGGGTTATAATGATTGGGTTCAGTTTATTTTTTAAATGTGGCTTCAACTATAAATGCCAGTCTGCCGGGCATCTGGTATTTGGAAACTACTACCCAGCTGCCAGGCATGTACACACAAGGAGATGTCTATATGATGCCATATTCTATTCCTATAATTATTGTAAATATTGAAAATATTGAATATATATAATACTCCTGTATAGAATGATACATTGTTGCGCACAAGACATGTGCACCAAATACTAGGAAATATTAAATATACAAGCAGGAGCAAGGTTCTGCAAAGTACATGTGACAGTGCGATCGGTTAAATACCTATACACATTCCATGCTGTCTTCGTCTGTATTGTGAACAAGTATTAGTATGTCAAATTCAAATTACAGTGTACTAGATGACAATCCAATACCAAAAAAACTGTTGATATGCCTTACTTGACTCTTCATAAGTGATCATAATGGCGATATAACAAGTACCGACCGTTCTAGTGCAAATTGCTTGGTCATTATGCATGAGTCAATTCCAGGAGTAACCCCCCCCCCCCGGGAACACACCCGGGAATTTGATTTGATTGGTTATGATAGTGTAAACGCCCGGGTGCCGGGACACAACTTGAAGACTAATGCACGGCCCCTGGGCAAGCTGAGAGTGGAAAATGCCCCACCCCGGGGACGATTTTACAGTCGATTTCACGAAACTGTGACCACAAATGTTCCGAACTTCATACTTAATTTTAGTGTGCAGTGATAACCAATTTGTGCAGTGATAAAAGTAAAATGTGCAGTGATAAAATGTAAAATGTGCAGTGACAAAATTTGCTTTGATAATTGTTAATTAACACAAGAAAATGAGACAATGAGCAGAAAAACTGAACGTACTAATCAGGCGAAACATTTTGAATGAGAATGATTTAATTGAAATTGAAATGATGACTGCCAAATTATCGAACGTCCGCATTAATAACATACTTATGGTTCATCAGATGAACAAAGTCTCTCACCAAAGATCTCTTTATGAGTTTGGAAGAAGGAGTGAATGATACTTATAAGATTTTGTAATTACTGTATAATTTTCAGAATTCTATAGAATGTCCCCGCACATTGCAGGAGATACCCTTTTATAGAGCCTAGATTACAAAATTGTCTGTGGGTGCATGGCTCTGGAACTCCTCTAGAGGTTTGTCACGCCTAAGCCCGTAAGCCGCCTTTCATTTCCAAGACGAAAATATTTATTTTCTTCAGTCATGTTATTATGAAACTAAGCTGTCACAGATAGTCGTAACTGCAGGTGCTGTCAAGGCCGCCCAGAGGGGTGCAATTTGCCCTGGGACCCCAGTTAGAGGGGGGCCCAAATATAGAATTGCAGTGAAATGTACATACATATAACTAACTGTCAACTAGACTTCCAGAATGCAGGATTTGGCCATTTCTGGGACCTCAGATTCAACATTTTTCCGGGTGATGCCCCCGGACCAGGGAATCATAGTGTTAGAATATGGAATCACGAGAGCCCCCAAGTCAAAGTTTGCCCTAGGCCCCCAAATTTCCCTGAGTGCTGTGCAGTGTATGTTCGTTTTGGCATTTTTGAATATAAATAGTAGCCTGCTTTGTTGTTACACATTATTATAAGGGTGTGTTCAGAAATTTTCAGGGCGTGCTTCTGCTCGACTAAACTTTGCACAAAACTGTGCAGTGATAAAAAATTCTTAAAATTAGGTATGCCGAACTTCGTTGCGAAGTTCGGAAGTTCGTTGCGAAGTTCGGAAGCTCATATTGGAATTCACAAGCCAATTTGTAAACAAAGTCCCTGATTGGTCCGTGCAGTAAAATAAGCCAATCAAATGCGTAGTTTACGAACTGGTTTGTGAATCTCATTATGAAGTTTCAAACTTCAACTTTTGAACTTTGGAAAATTTGTGGTCAAAGTTTCGTGAAATCGACTGTAAACGTTAATTAAACTTTTAATTGCATATAGTCATAGTCATTTAATAACATTATAGTATTAAACTGCTATGGAATATTATAAAACATAAACCTTTAATAGTTGTATTTAAATTTGCATGGCACAGAGTATAATTTTCGCTTATTCTTACAATAAATTTCACGCCACCTTGACCACGAGGGCGCAAAATACGATCAGCGCGCCCACATGCGTGCCTCAAACTAGGTTTTGCTGCCTTAAAATTTGTGGGTGGGATTTTGGTCAACCATTTGTCAAATCCCCGGGGTCCTCCAATACCCGGCCTCCGTGCACATATACAGTGGCGTGGTGGCTCGAAAATTTCAAGGGGGGCCAGTGTTAAAGTTGTCGCCCCTAAGAGTTATCTCGATTATTGCGCCCCTCCCCCCCCTCCCGCTCAGCCTCCCGAAAATTAGTACGAGTGTACACATCGAGTGTCGTAGGCACGAGGGACCCAGAAGGGTCTGGGGGGATGCTCTTCCAGAATTTTTTTAAAATCTAAGTCCGTGAAATGGCATTTCCAGCATTCTGAAAACACATTTGTGAAACAGTTTTCCACCAAGTACCAATATCTAAAACAATGTTAGTCAGGTTTTGTTGTAGCATATTATCAACGGATATAATTATACTATAATACAATTTTTACTATCATATGCCGATAATTAGAGAACATAATTTTGTTCCAGGTCAAATGTCAATAACGTATAGACTATAAGCTATAGTTTATGCAAATTGAGCATAATATCACAATCATGTACAGTTTTAAAAGACAACCAATGAACCAAATGCAAGTCAAAGTAGAGCTTTTGACAGTTCGGGAGAAAGCCCTGCGTACAGATTTTTAATGAGATGTTCTTTATCGCATTTGAGCAAAATTTTACGCTCGATTGACATTGCAATGAAAGCAATGATTCAAGTCTCTCCTGAACCATGGATGAGCGAATGCGAGTCTTCACCCTCTTGAGTGCAAAAAACGAACGCTCTGCAGTCGACGAACTAACTGGGATGGCCACAGCAATAGCATAAACGCGACAGAGAGTTGGATACGCATCAACCAAACTATAATCTGGGTTACAAAGGAGTGAAAGAGCTTCAGAGAAAGATGGAACTTTTTTCTTCGTTTGTTTGTCAGCTTTCTTGCCGCCGCTGTCGCTCTGCTCATTATCTGACGTGCTTGAGATTTCGTCGTCGTCCTCGTCATCATCATCATAACCATCGTTGTCCTCGCCGTCATCATCATCATAGTCATCGTCGTCGTCGTTCGCCGTCATCATCATCATCTTCTTGCTGGCAGATAGTTGAACAGTCGAATTTCTCAAAAGAACGAGCAAAGTTGAACAATTCGTCAGCACATCTAAACGCATCTATACTGTACGTTTCACAAAAGGTGTTAAGGCACGCTTGAAGATCATGTGCGGTTTTGAAATTCTTCACAAGTTGTGGGAAACGGCTTGGGGCAAACAACGAAAAAGCTTGGAGCAAGGGTTGGTTTTTCTCAAACCGATTCTTCAATGAATTTAAGATTGTGTCCACAGAAACGTAAAATGTGTTACGTTTCCAGTGATCTTCTGGTGTTTCCGCAGGTTCGCCTTCGGCATTTTCATCATCGATTCGTCTTCGACGTCTGATTCTTGGTTGTTGCCAGATCACGCTGGGGGAGTTGTGTTTTTGCTCGACGTATCTGATAATCAGCTCCGGTTCTTTACACAATTCATTGAGCTCGTCAATCGCGCTTTCGACCATACCCAGGGCTTTTCCAAAATCAACATCAACGCGTTGTAAATATCGGCTTAGCGGACCAGCGGATGCAAATATTTCTCGAAAGAGGTACGCGGTAGCCAGAAACTGCTTTGTTTGAATCTGCTTCAATAAGCCAATGCTCGTTTTTCGTGGGTTTCCATCAATTAAACTGTCCAACGCAACGGTTTCCAGGACACTTAAAATGCAGTCATAACGAGAGAGAAGGACCTTTAGATCGCGTGAATGCCAACGAACAGTATTAAGTCTCTTTAGGGAAAGGACTTTCAGGTTCTCTTCCAGTTGGACAGCTTCGAACAAATCATGGATTCTTTG